TGGCAGAATCAGGTCATCAAAGCTCTTGGGAACGAAGAGCTGAACAATCTTTTCCTTGAGATCCTCAGAAAAGAGTGCAGCAAAGGACCAAAGGATGCATTCTCCAGCAAATTGAAAATACTTTATTGTTGAAAAACAAAAATAGGCTTTAGAAAAGGTGGCTAGCGGCTATTGTGTATTTTGATTATGCATATCCGAAACCTAGTCAGTGTACCTCAAAAATGAAAAAAATGAAAATTTCCTTGGGTTTTTTGCATTTTTCACTAATTCTATAATTTTCATTTTTTTCATTTTTTCATTTTTTCATTTTGCTGTAAAATCCTAGGTTTTTGTATAAAAAGTATACAAATGTAAAAAAATGAAAAAAAAAACATTGAGTTTTTTCATTTTTGCCTATTTGTATAGTCTTACATAATTATCATTTTTTTATCTAATTTTACATTCTATTTAGGTGTCTTAATAAATTTGCATTTATTTTCAATTATATTTACATACATTTTTGATAATGGTTTGAATTGAATTCACATTTTGTTGCTTTATGGTGTACTTGTATGTTTATTAGCAGTGGCTAAAGCATGATTGATTGACAATACAAACTAACTTTACAACTTTACAATAACAACATTAAAATTAAAATACACATATATATAGATAGAATAATGAATCTAGAATCTAGACTAGTGACTAGATGAGTCTAGCCAAGCCTGAAAGATTATTCAACATTAATTAGTGTATAGTATATATTAAAATATAAAAAAGAACTTTATTGTAACTTATCATATGTTATTGTTAAGGTCCTTTGCTTGATGATGCATTTATCATAGAGATAGAAAACCCAAAGCTATGAACGATAATCAAAAGTTGAGTTGAGTTAAATCAATATTCATATTCCACGTTGAACATTTACAAATTAGCAAAATAACACTAATCATTAGTTGGTCACCGCTTATTGATGACTATGTATAGTATAGTTCAATCACTACTAATTACTAATCAGTTACTACAGTAATCATTGCTGCTAGCTGCTAGCTGCTAGCTACTCATTGATAGTAAACATATTGATATTCAGTGAACAATAGGTTTAATGAGTCTAATGTTTTTGTTTAATGGAATTTACTTCATCCTACTTAGACTCAGACTCAATCTTAGACAGAACTAGCTGCCAGTACTATTCATTAGTCGGTAGTCCTAGGTCCTAGCCATCCTAGCCACTAGCCGCTAGCCACTATGCCGCTGCTGCTAAGTAGCTGCTACTTAAGCATAAGCCTAAACCTAAGGCCTAATCCTAAGCCTCAAGGTTGTATGCTATGCTACTACTGGCACTACTACTACTACAGTGACTACAGCTGCAGTATATAGTCACTAGTCACTAGTCCTCTGTTGGACAAAATGATCCTCCTCATTTATAGTCTTAGTTACTAACCCTCATTCTCCTCACTCTGCTATCCTCTCTTGCTACTCATTTAGTCCTTGAATACAGGTATGAGGTATCGGTAGGATTCCTGGACCTAGCTAGCAGCTAGCTATTAATTTAATAGAGCCATAGAGTCTAGAGCCATAGAGTGATTGGGCACAGGAAAGTTTCTGCATCTTGCAGAGTCTAGTAACTAGTAAGAGTCTAACAGAGTCTAGTAACTAGTAAGAGCTGCTACTGGCAGCAAGGTTGCCAGGGGGTACCAGGGTAGCTACCAGTACCAGGACCTGAAGCTCAACTCTTGGAACTCTGAACTTGCACATGTGTCACAGTGTGAGCTCCTCTGGAATGCAAAATATGATCAAGAAAAAAATCGAATCTAGAACTAGAATTAGAAAACTACTACTGTTACAATTACAGTTTCCTGTTGAACGGTCTCTTCTTTGACTGTGTCAAAAGTAACAGAAGGCCTTGAACGTTGCTTTGAAGCCTTTCACATCGGCCATTGTAAAGATGTCTTTGCGGAAGAAAATGATGAAGCACCTGCATTGATGCAAACGACTTGAAGTGTAACACAAAAGCTGCAAAAGCCGCCAAAACGAGTTGGTTTGCTCATTCCTTCGAATCGACTCGACTCGACCGGTATCGGTATCACGACTCATTGACTCAGACAGTGAGAAGAGAAGACTGACATTGTTCGTATTGCCCTATGCCAATGCCTATGGCCTATGCCTTGCATAGTTTTACTATTTATACTAATTACTAATACTTATATTTAATATGTGTTGAGTCTATGTCTATATTATATTGATATGAGTCTATCTATGTCTATGATGTGCAAGCAAGAGCCAGCACTGCATGGCATGGATTCTCAATGCACACACAAAGTCAGGATTTTTTTTCAACAGCCATCAGAATTGTGGCCGTCCTGCTGTTCAGACTTCAGACCTGTCTCGGCTCTGCTTCTGGTCCCACTTGCGCCATCTCGAAATCAGCAAAATTTGCAGCATCAGGCAGAGACATGAACCATTCTCTAGCTCTCTTGCGTTGTTCAAAGGTAGGTCTGCAGGAATGCACGTGAGTTGTCTTCGCGCTGTGCTCATTGGCCAGCTCCAGCCAGGCAACAAGAAGACCTATTGGTCTGCCACTGCGCTTGCCTGAAGGCAAGCATGTGGATTGCTTTCTGCAGTCTGACGTGTGAGAGCATCTTCCAAATGGACAAAAGGCTACCATGGCTCCTGTGGCATGGTAGTATCTCAGTGATCCCATTTCGTTGGGAAGGCTAAAGACATATCTTGATTCAAGTCCACCTCTGTGCCCAGAGCTTCGAGCTTCTTGTCGTGGCTGATCTGTTTCCGCTGCTGCCGCTGCCACTGCTTTGACAGGGCCATCTTTCTCACTGTCAGGCTCGTCAGGCCTGTGAGGCTGAGGCTGTTCTGAGTCATTGTTTTTCTTCTCAGAGTCTAAATCCAAGAAAGAATCATCACTTGCACTGGCTTCATCTGCCTCCTTCAAGTATGCTGCCACTGCTGGTGCCTGTGTTTGGTCACGGTCATTATTGTCAGCACTCTGTTCTTGCAGCTGATTGCCACCACCAGAGTCAAAGCCATCAAAGCCATCATCATTGTCATCCTGCTGCTCCTCACCACTGGAATCCCCACCATCGCCATAAGGATTCTCATCGTTCTCTTCATGTTCAAGAACTTCTGCCTCCATCTCTGTGTCAATCTCCAGCTCGTTCTCCTGCTCTGACTCTACTTTGGAACGGTCAGTGACAGGATCATTTTTTCTCACACGGGGTCTCTTGGCAGTGTTGTGCTTCCTTCCACCACCACCGCCACCACCTGAGCCACCCTTTCTTTTGCCCTCCCTTCTCAACCGTTCTTTGTCAAAACCTTGCCAGAAGACAGACTCGCCAGCCAACAGAGTTGAAGGAATGATGGACTGAGTTTCACCCATGAATGTTGGCCAATCTTCAGAAGAAAACCCCCGCAATCTGAAGGACCAACTTCTCTCCAGGTTCAATAGCTGCGTGAATACCTCCATGTCAGTGAACAAGCCTGAATGCCAAGGCCAAGGCCGAGAATCAACTCAAGTCAAAGTTGTTGCTGCTGCTGTTATTATCCAGGTAGCTGGAAGCTATAAATATATTAATAGATTCCTTATCTTATATCTAGTGCCTATAGGGCAATATAGGGGTTCTTACATCTCAAATGTAATGATGTGATGCCAGGAATTATATCATGTCATGTCAGGGATGACATCATTTGATGCCAGGTATGATATGGGATGATATGATGTCATGCCAGGGATGACCTGGTTTTTGTTTTCACTATCTGTACTCTATATTATACATCCGCTATTTATTTTGGGGTCTTATGCTGGTGTAGTGACGTGTGACTGTTTAAAAACACAAAATGGTATATATAATAACACAATATATATTGGTACACAAAGTGACCCATACATTGATACATTTGTACAATGTACAATGTACAATTTATATTTCATTAATCATTAAACAAATCGTATCCAACAAGTCCTTGATGAAATCTGACAATGATGATTATGCCATGCCACACAAACACTTTTGACTGTTGGCCGAGGAACCCTTGCGAGGATCATCATTGATGAGTGGACGCAAGTGGCAGCAAGCATTCTCAGTCTCAATGCCATTCTGGTTCACCTTCTCCATTTGGAGAACTGAAAAATGCCAAGTGCGAAGATTGATTTGCCCAATGTAGAAGCAAAATTCCAAGTTCCTGAAAGCCTCCGACTCAATTCCTTCTGTCGATGCAGCCTTCTCTTCCTCAAAGCAAAGATCCCACTCAGAAGCAGCATGGCAAACATTGTGAGGTTTGCTGCTCAGGCTTAGCCTTGGCCAAGAACGGATCTCCAAGAAAATCATGCCGCTATCCAAAAGCTTGCGAGGAAATGAGCACTCCTTCAACTTCTTCTTCTTCCAGAAAATATGACGAAACAATTTGGAGATGTTCTCATGGCACCATAAGGCATACTTGTTCTGGCCACAGCAGCAAACACACAGAGAATGGCATATCTTCGGTTGAAAGCCTTGCTTTGGTGGTGGGATTTGCTCTGTCTTGGCATTGCACTCTTTCATGAGCTTGCACCGTTGGTTCAATTCATCCCGTAGATTGGAATCCAGCTTCAAAGCTCGACGAACACCAGCAAGAGCATTGGACATGATGGCCTGTGGCAAGTTTGACCTGCAAATGACAACAAAATGACACTAAAGACTAGTTAGTGACTAGTGACTAATGACTAAGTGACTAGTGACTGCCAGCAGCTAGCAGCTAGCAGCTAACCAGTATTCAATACAATGCAGATGCATTTCATTACAAATTGCAAGACAATACAATACAGCCACTTACAACAGTGCTCTCAACTTGGCCTTATATATCAATCTCCTAGATAGATCTTAGTCACTTAGTCTTAGTCACAGTCTTAGTCTCAGTCATTGTCAACTTTAGGCTTTAGGTCCTTAGGTTTTTAGAATGCCTTAAGCCTTAGGTCCTTAGGTAAACCTAGGGCCTTAAGCTGAATTTAGAAATGCTTGGATTTTGGATCACTTGGAACTTCCTGCCTTGACTGCAGAAGAGACAGGCGCCACCCAATCAAATGACACAACAGAGTTTGCAGGACCGCTGGCAAGAAGAAATCCACCTGCTGTCTTTGTCATGTTCTTTTTGGTCATGTCTTGTACAAAGTCATGATTCACAGCTGAACCCGCATGTGCTTGAAGCTCAGCCACTTGTTTTTTGCCCAACTCCACATTCATCACACGTTGGCGCCGTTCCTCCTCAGCCAGCTGTTTGATTTGCTGATATTTATCATAGAACGAATCTGGCCCACTGAACATAAGTGAAACCTTCAAGTCCCAGTCTGAATCTGCGGCAACTATGACTCCAGAGTCCAATTCTGCGCCAGGAAGGGGTGCATCTTTTCTTGCAGCTAAAGCTTGCAGGCCAGACTTGAAGGCGTCAGTATCTGGCTTCGTTGGAGATGGAAAAGATTGGAAGCCAGACTTGTGAGCCAGGGTCGCTGCTTCTCCAATAGCTTTGTATCGTTGGTACTCTTGTTCTGAAAGCTCACGGTATTGTTCACCAAGCTCTGCAAGAGTCTCAGCAGTAAAACTTCTTCCACTACACCTCTCTGAGCAAAATGCCCTCCATGCCCCTCCACCACCGTGACTCTTTTTTTTGTGGTGTTTTTCTTCTGAGTCTGATTGCCTGGGTGCATATTTGAAGCACTCGAACTCGAATTGCAAAAGAGATCTGAAGCCTTCTGAACTATCTGTCGATGCCTTCCAGCAGTGTTCCCAATGAACTTTGAAGCCAGAGTTGAAAGTGTGGGGAAGTATCCTCTGCCTCTCAAAAGGCTCATCTCTCTGTTCGAAGCATGTCTAGCCTCAATTGGTGCAATGTCAAGTACGATGGACTGCCCAAGCGCTTCCAACACAGCCTGAGCCTCTGCGGACTTCAACTTCTCTTTGGAATCCTGGGCAGAGCTATCTCACACGGACTGTGACTGTGATCATGACTGTGGTGATTTCTGACACTTCACTAGTCACTAGAACGACGATGATGTAGTGTATAGTGTATAGTAACAGTATACTAGTATTAGTATAGTATAGTATAGTACAGTATACTATATATAGTATAGTATAGTAACAGTACTCAGTGTTAAATACAAAACAAAACTAATTTATTAATGCATATACATTGTAATTGAACTGTTATACTAAAACGATGTCAATGTCATAGTCATAGTCATGGTCTAAGTCTTAGTCATAGTTGATAATATCGTTCATAGTGATCTGACTGTTTTTTCAACATTGAATATAAATAGGTTGTGTCCTTAGTATGCATTGTGTGATACAATGATACAATAATAATAACATAAAATCTAATTATTTCATCCAATAGTTGATTACAATAGTTACAAAACTACTATAGTTAGTCTTTTGTTAGCTATTTTAGTATACTGAGTATAGTATAGTATAGTAATAATGACCTGATACTGATACTGTACATCCTGAATACCTTAGGCCTTAGGAACAGCCTTAGCCTTAGCCTGAGCCACACCTTAATCCACATCTTGCCATACACTCCCATGAATCAGCATCCAAGGGTCATATCTCTGGAGGAAGAGGTGTGCCAATGCATCATGAGAGCACGGCTTGGATGCCAACACAGCATCGATGTCCATACGACGCCCTTTCATTGCCAAAAATAGCTTGAAAGGAAATCCAGAACGTGGAAGTCGAATAAGGCAATGCAAGTTGCAAAGTGCTCGAGCAACCATTCGAAACCGCATAGCCAGAATTTGCGGTGTGTAGTCATCTACCACAAGTGCTGCAACAGGCTTGAAAAACTGTGAACTAAGTTTGTTGATGGTATCCTGAGTGTCACTGCCAACATATGCTTGCAGAACCCGATAGAGCCTTTGCTTTCCCTGCATCTCCCTGTATCTCTGCCTCTCCTCAAAAATTTGTCCGGTGTAGGAAAGAAAGGTGTACATCAAGCTCATCAGTAGAGCCAATGTTTCCTTCAGTACAACAAGTCTGGCCAATGGTTTGCTTTTTGCCCATGCCCTTGCCTTTTTTTGTTTTGTTTTTTTTCTGCTGCCCAATCTCGCTCTCCCCCTGACATTACAGGCGCACTCCCTGCGTCTTCTCCAAATGCAAATGGAAGCTTGCTTTCTGAGTCTGCTTTTGCTTCGGCTTCACCTGAATCATTTGTGGTTGTGTCAGCTGCCATGAACTTCTCCGATGACCCAGGCTCAGTGTTGACCTTCTTGGCATCGCCTGCAGCCACCCCAGTCGTTTGTGTTGCTTGATGCTCTGCAGCCAATCCAGTCTCTTCCAAAAGAAGTGCATTCCACTCATCCTCACACTCGATTGCAGCCTTTGAGTCCAACAAATCGTAAAGGTTGCTGCTTTCATCAGATTTGGTTTTGGTTTGTTGCTCACCATGCTCCTTATCAGGACCACCAGTCATCTCTAGCACAAAGGGCTCAAGCAGTGAGTGAACAGATGCCAAAAGGCCAACGAAGTCTATTGCAATATCTGCATTTGTCCACCTGCTCCTCGGAAACATTGGGCATCGTGTTGGTATCAATGCCCAGGACACGAAGATTGAGATACCTTTCAAAGTGGATAATTCAGAACTGCAGCATCCATATGGACAATGGTGAGTGACCTCAGGGCACCACATAGCTCCGTTCAGGAAATGGCCAAGGATGAATCTCCTCTTGCGATTCAACTTGGCACGAGCAGGTACCACATTGTAAATCGGCAGGAACGTGTCGAAGACCTCTGCTTGATACTGTTTGTAGTCATCAATCCAATCTGAAGGTGGTGGTTCAAAAACCACCTCCAGCTTACGAAGAAGGATTTTTGACATCACCTGTCTCATGCGTGGGACCACACCAGGGTCACCAAAAGCCAAAGCGAATGCTACGCACCCTGAAATGTCTTTCTCTGCCATGTCCATTGCAGCACGAGTGCACTGGTATAAGCGGTGGACATCACAGTGCAAGTGGATCAGTGTTGCATCAGGAAAGTATCCGTTCATATGACGCTCTGCAACATTGTTGGCTAGGTATCTGTCACTGCAAGTGTGTCTCAAATTGAAGGCATACTTCATGCTGGTTTCTCGGTGTGATGGAACAGCATCCACACAATCCTTCAAAGCCAAGAACGTGTTGCTTCCTGTTGTGGATTGAAGACCATACAAACAAGTGGGAAGCTGCCCATAGATCCAAAAGTACTTGTCCCGCTTTGGGTCAAAGAGCAAAGATCCAATACCCAATTCGATTTGTAATATCTTCGCAGCAGATGTGCTAGCTTCTGATTGCAAAACATTGAGACTGCATAGCTGCTCAATGGTCAAAGTTGAATCATCCAGCAGCGCAGACACATCATCCTGGTGGTCAAGCACCTTGACCTTTGTGGGTGTCTCATCATATCTGAGTCTCAGCATGGAGAGCACTGGGCGCATCCCACTATCAGATGATACAAAGAATGACAACAAGCAACTCCACATCAATGCAATCCATTCAAAAATTGCTGAAGAGATGGAGAGAATACGTCTCCCGACATTGTTCTCTGCGGTGCAAGACTCCAAAGCTTTGGCGCTCATAGTCATCATTGCTCCAGTAAGGTGCTTTTCTGTCAATTGGTCGTCAGGTTCCACCCCTTTCTGCACAGATTTCAGGAGAGCAGTCTGTAGATCCAAATGCAAAGGTTTCTTGGAAGAGATAGACACGACTTCAGGTGGAAAGTATTCCTCCAAGGCCTGCATGCTCTCTGGGGTCACAGCTATCTTCAACTTCATTTGATCCGCTGCGACTGCGAATGCTTCTTTTTGTTTGTGACGTTCTTGCACTTTCTCAGCACGACATGCCCGGGCATATGCAATATCCCCAGGCTTTGGTAGCTGAGCAAGTCTCTCTCTATCCTGCTCTTGGCAATACTCTTTCCAATCCTTGCTGCCGAATGTTCCAGCAGGACGTCCCCGTCCACGTTTTTCCCTTTTCTTTGGCACAGACACTGCACATGGATTCTCATCCACCTCCACTTCAGCGTCTGCTAGAGTCAGATCACCCATGGCCCAAGTGAATGGACAATGGTTGGGTACTTAGAATCAGAATCAGACTAGACTTAGACTAGACTAGACTATGTAGACTGTAGACTTAGTCACTTTCTCAGTCTTAGTCATAGTAATCCTCCAAACTGTTATGTTACCGGGAACTGTTACCTGCTGCCTCCTGCCTGCTGCCTGCTGCTAGCTAGCTGTTCACTGTTCTGCTAGCTGCTGGCTGCTAGCTTTTACTTTAGCCTGTGTTGGTTGTTAGCTCTTAACTGTTACAGTAGCTATATAGCTGTTAGTTAACCTGTTAGTACTAGTAACTTCAGTCAGTTGGTTGGTTGATTTTAGATACTCAGATAATCTGTGTGTGTGAATAGTTACTATTGTAAACTTGAGCACCATTGCTTCTGAGACAATCTCAGCACTCCAATCTCCAATGACTCCAATGGTCAATGGTCATAGTCCCTAGTCGCCCTAGGCCCTAGTCACTAGTCACTAGTCACCAGTTATGGTCAAAACCTTACCCGGACCCTGTATCAGACACTGAAACGTCCCTGGCATCCCCACATCCCTGGCATCCCCACAAGCCTGGAACGTAGGATTTTGGCAAAGATTTCACCGCTCAGCTGCAAGACAGCCACCCAGTAGCCACCATGCTTCCAAGTCTTCTTGGACATTATCTCCAAGAACCTTGCATGGGATAGGATGCTGCTACCACCTGCTAAGCTGCTAGGCCGCTAGGCTCTACTTACTAGACTCTATCCGGTTCTACCTATCACTACCAACTACCATGGACCATTGCCATGTAGAAAACTGATACAGTTAAAGTTAAAATTTACAAGTTTACAATTTCATGCAATTTAGAGCTCAAGGCATCAAGAAACGTGCATGTATATTGTTATTCATTTTAACATACATACTCGAGTATACCAGTACGTGTGTGTGTGCACACCTGGAAAAATGACATGAAACTAATCTGAAATTAGTCAAGAAACAAATCCTTTGGTGTGGTGGGATCATCTGCAGAGAAGGGCTGGGTAAAGCCCATCACTTGCTCAAATACCCCAATGCGGGGCTCGTACAACTGGTAGCTTGCTACAACGTCCTGCATTGTCACTGAAAATTCCTGATGAGATTTCACATCTCCCTCAGTAAAGCGTTTTGCACGCTGTGCCGAAAATGGGTTGCAAGGCGAACCGCTGAAAAGGAGATCAATTTGGCTCTCATGTGGCTTGCATGGTCCAAGCAAACTGCTCACGCTATCTTTACACAGCAGGCCAACAGTATTGCATTTGACCTGTTCTTCCACTGTAGGGTAGAAGTGGTTGAAATGTTCACTGAAATTCTCCAAGCATAGCTCACGGTACTTGGGATTCATCTCAGATGCTGACACCATTTCAAACGGCATCCGCAAAGCCTGCACAGCATTCATTGTAGATGGAATTAATGGTTTTTACAACAGCTTGCAACATCAAGGCTACTGGTTTTCATTTGGAGTCTGAGTCTTTCCATTCTCTATTTAGATTCTACTGAGCCTACTGGGTACTACCAGTTACTACTGCTTAGTACTGCTTACATGTGAAAAGCTGAAATCATGGACCCCAGGTAAGTAAGTTAGTTAGTTATGCCAACACCGGACACTGGTTTAGTCAAAACAATGAATGAAACCCTCTTGAGTGGAATTGAAATTCCGATATACATACATGGACATATGATATGCAACTGTTTGCAAAAATGTTCCGAAACGCAATATAGACAGTGACCTTTCAGATCTGATATACAACACATCCATCACGGTTATCCCTTCTACCCAAAAAACATCAGTAAACGCTGGCCATGGCCTTGAGCACAGCCGACTCGGATGAGCAACCAGTGCAGCATGACGCCACCAGAATTGGTTCATCCAAGACAGGCCATGTCATTCCCGAATCCTGTACAGCCTGGAGCAACCATCTGGTCCACCACGACGGCATCTTTGTTGTTGAGGTCTCTGAATCTGATTCAGATTCCATTGAGAGTTGGCAAACTTCTGCCATCTCTTCCCTTTCTTCCTGACTGAGTTTCAGTTCTTCATCATATGCCAACTCCCACCCATGCTGCTTCACCTCCTCCACATACAAATCACCCCACTCTTCTCCCATTGCTTGGGACTCTGCGCTGTGAGGGTTTGTACTGGTAGTAAGGAAGTAGTTTGTACTGTGTTTGTACATTGTACTGTGTCGTGTTGTAAGGAGTTGTTGATATTGCCCTAAAAAGAAACTGAGTACAGTACAGTTACTATGAAATGAAGTATTTCGAGAGTAAAACTCACATGACACACTGCAACAGTAACACCAAATGGTAATGGATGGTGCCGATGGTTTGGAAATGCTCTGACGTCTTGGTTTGGACCTTTCTGATGAGTAGAGGCAGCCAGGTTCATGGCTCACAGCCAGCAGCAACAATGCAAAAAAAATGAAAATGGTTTTGGATGATGAAAAAATAATGAGAACCCGGACGATAAAAAAATGATAACCAAAATGCAAACCAAATGAAAAAAAAATGTTTTACTTACTCTCAACCTGTGGCCCAGAGATATTCATAAAAATATGGAGAATGTGGACCTGCTCATCAGTGAGGAGGCACAGCAGGATATGGACCTCAAATCTGCCTTCGCGCCGACAGTCCCCCGACAACCCTTCTTTCGATTGCTGCTTGGTGATCCCAAACAGAGCCCTGGTGGAGTAGCTGATGGACAAAGAGCCCATCGCACGCTCTTACTCAAAGCTCCCATTGGGCTACGAGCCCCCACTACCTGGTACATGCCACATGATACCAGGTGTCTTTCACATGCTCCTTCGCAAAACAGAGCCCACCGGCCGAGTCTCCACCATCTTGTAGTCTTTCCTCTGTGCTGAGGTGAAACAGGTGAAACGAAGACTATGCTCCATCAATGGGCCTGAATTCTCGAACGAAGAGCATGGCAGCGTGTGTTTATGCTGTAGCAAAGTTTCCAAAAAGTCTTCAAATGGACTTAACTTCCCAATTACCAGTAACCAGCGGCCACTGCACAGTGTGGCAAAAACCTGGTCACAATGCAGGTCAGGAGCATAGCTATTCCTACGCCGCTTGTATCCATGTCAAAAGGATCAGTGGTTGCTGTGCTTCATGCCGTCGAAAAAACCTTTCTTGTGGCGCAACCCATTCAACTGTTTTTTTCCACGAGTACGGGCGCCGTGTGGGCATGGTGCCCAAGTCATCATTGAAGGGAGGGAAGAACAGTCTGATGGTGGAGAAAAGAACAGAGAAACCCAACACCAGACCAAACAAACAAAACACCACAACCAGGGCCCACAAGCCGCGTCTCC